GCCTCACCTCAGTCCCTGGAAAAATCATGGAGCAGGTCCTCAAGGAATCAATTCTGAAGCACTTAGAGGAGAGGAAAGTGATCAGGAACAGCCAGCATGGATTCACCAAGGGAAGGTCATGCCTGACTAATCTAATCGCCTTTTATGATGAGATTACTGGTTCTGTGGATGAAGGGAAAGCAGTGGATGTATTGTTTCTTGACTTTAGCAAAGCTTTTGACACGGTCTCCCACAGTATTCTTGTCAGCAAGTTAAGGAAGTATGGGCTGGATGAATGCACTATAAGGTGGGTAGAAAGCTGGCTAGATTGTCGGGCTCAACGGGTAGTGATCAATGGCTCCATGTCTAGTTGGCAGCCGGTATCAAGTGGAGTGCCCCAAGGGTCGGTCCTGGGGCCGGTTTTGTTCAATATCTTCATAAATGATCTGGAGGATGGTGTGGATTGCACTCTCAGCAAATTTGCGGATGATACTAAACTGGGAGGAGTGGTAGATACGCTGGAGGGGAGGGATAGGATACAGAAGGACCTAGACAAATTGGAGGATTGGGCCAAAAGAAATCTGATGAGGTTCAATAAGGATAAGTGCAGGGTCCTGCACTTAGGACGGAAGAACCCAATGCACAGCTACAGACTAGGGACCGAATGGCTAGGCAGCAGTTCTGCGGAAAAGGACCTAGGGGTGACAGTGGACGAGAAGCTGGATATGAGTCAGCAGTGTGCCCTTGTTGCCAAGAAGGCCAATGGCATTTTGGGATGTATAAGTAGGGGCATAGCGAGCAGATCGAGGGACGTGATCGTTCCCCTCTATTCGACATTGGTGAGGCCTCATCTGGAGTACTGTGTCCAGTTTTGGGCCCCACACTTCAAGAAGGATGTGGATAAATTGGAGAGAGTCCAGCGAAGGGCAACAAAAATGATTAGGGGTCTGGAACACATGAGTTATGAGGAGAGGCTGAGGGAGCTGGGATTGTTTAGCCTGCAGAAGAGAAGAATGAGGGGGGATTTGATAGCTGCTTTCAACTACCTGAAAGGGGGTTCCAAAGAGGATGGCTCTAGACTGTTCTCAATGGTAGCAGATGACAGAACGAGGAGTAATGGTCTCAAGTTGCAGTGGGGGAGGTTTAGATTGGATATTAGGAAAAACTTTTTCACTAGGAGGGTGGTGAAACACTGGAATGCGTTACCTAGGGAGGTGGTAGAATCTCCTTCCTTAGAGGTTTTTAAGGTCAGGCTTGACAAAGCCCTGGCTGGGATAATTTAACTGGGAATTGGTCCTGCTTCGAGCAGGGGGTTGGACTAGATGACCTTCTGGGGTCCCTTCCAACCCTGATATTCTATGATTCTATGATTCTAAGTCCTCTGTTCAACCACGGAACATCTATGGGGCACCCAGCTCCTATATAAACAGCCCCTCATACTGCTCTGTCTCCTGTTTTGGAGAGACCAACTCTATGGATGAGAAGATAGAGCAGAATGGATGTGAAAACTGAACTGAGCTCAGTTGCCAACTTTCATGTGGTAAATAAGCACCCCAACTTTCACAATAAACCAAAAATCAAGCTAATCCCATTTCAAAACAAGGCCAAAACAAGGAAATCCCTAAGAACCCCAACACTCTATGTGACTAGATCCCCCCGGCGTGCAGTCTGGAACTGTGATGGGCCCGCTGACTCTCTCTCCCCTTCCCTTGCTTGCCCCCCTTCCCCTGCTTGCTGGGAGCTGATCAAAAAAACAGAAGCAACAAGCTACAAGCCAATCAAGCAACAAGCTACAAGCCAAAAACTAGCCAACAAGCAACTCACAAGCCAATTAAGCCAAAACAAGCCCAATTTCTGCGTTTTTTTAAACAGGTTTGGCATGTCTGACTCTGAGCCCTCTCTCCTTAGACTGCTATGAAGGATGCCAAATCTGTGATGGCAATACAGAAATATAACTGGTAATTGGATATACCTGATGAACAGAGAGATGGAGTGGACAGATGGTTCTCAGCATCCACATATTTGCATTTATATGTGATTTGGGTTGTGAACAAACAGGCACTAAAAACGAGGACCACAACCTTACTTCAAACAGGTCAGCAAAGAAGCATCTGATGGTTAGCAGGCTGGCCCAGATTTGAACTTGTGGCTTACAGGTGATAACTGTGGATCACAGCTTTCTGCCTTAATAGTTAGGAAAATAGGTCCTGTCAGAGTTACCATCATAATTATCTATTCTGACCATTCCACCACTGAGTTTTCCTGTGGACCTTCCCTAGTCACATTTTTTCATGGATAAACTGAGAAAGCAGGGAAGGAAAATCTTGCCCTTTAGCACCTTAAGTGTGTCACTTTTTAGTCATTTGAAATAATATAGTTGTTTAGATGCTGGATTGGAAATGTAGGCAGCAGATATTAATACTTTTTTAACTATATAGGCTCTGTCTCTGAGTCTCTAATCCTGCAAACACTTAAACACATGTGTAACCTTGATCAAATAGTGATGTGTATGTCTGTTTGCAGGATTGGGACCTAAATTTGAAAGTGTGGCTTCAAGCAAAGTATGGCGTCAAGGAAAAATATTCTGTGGTGGGCATTTTTGTGCAAAGGCTGTTGAACAGCATGATTCTGAAAAGCCAAGAAATGCATCCTATGCATTATCAGTCAGAGTGGTACTTACTGGACAGGTTCTGGTCAGGTAATTGTGTTCATTAGCAGCAAGGGTACAGAGAACGCTTTCCTCTGAGAAGGTCATGGTTTGGATTCATCAAATATCTAAGTGATGGCCCCTGTCAGTTATATGGCACTGCAGAGGACAGAGCTTTTGGGAGAATGGCTGTTCTGATCTCAAGCATATCCTTATAGGCATATGTGGTTGTTTAAAAATGTTTTTTTTTTTCTGATCAAAGAATTTTAATGAAATGTACAAATACCGAGAGGACTAGCCAGATGTTCACATAAGCGTGACTAACATGATCTATAGGCATAAAATCATTTATCTGGGCTACAGAGCTGCGAGGAGGGTATGATTTAAAACACCAAGACAACATCCAGTTTGTATCCAACGGTATTAGTATAATAGGACCTTTGATAGAAAAAAAGAAAGTCAACCATTCCTATGTGGAGAGAAAGGAAGGTCACTTAGTAGGAATAATCTCAGGACTGTCTAATTGTTCACTCAAGTCGAGATAAATCTTACATCTAGGGATCTGTCATGAGCTTTTCGGATAAACGGAGAATTTCTATTTTTGTAAGGTATTTGTGTTAGCTAACAGCTTAGCCTGTAGCAGGGGTGTGTGTGTGTGTGTGTATCTCTCTCTCTCTTTGCTGTGTACAAGAGAAGTTCTTTTTGGATACTGATGGGTGAACGTCAGAGTTTCAGATGTCAAGGGCAGATAACCAGACTGATGTCCAGATTCTTATCCAATCATTTATCTGAGCCCCTTTGGAATAGCTTATTGAAAACAAGACTGACAGGTGATTTGGTTACAATGTATAAGTATCTTTACGCAGGGAAGGGTGGAATGGGGGGGTCCGGCAGTTTTAAAAGTGAGAGGGCTATGCCTTCTCATTTTTACCAGCTGTAAGGGTGAGCGACAAGAGCGAGGGAAGAGCAAGCAGGGGGCAGAGCCTTGCGGGGAAGAGGCGGTGTGGGAGTGGGGCTTCAGGGGAATGGGTGGTGGGAGGGTGGGGCCACGATTTGGGTGCTGGTGGCCCCCCCCACACACATGTTTAGCAAGCTTCCACGGGTTCTGCATTCACAGGGTAAAATTCTAGGTGCTAAAGGGCTCTTGCATCTAGCAGAGAAAGACATAACAAGAACCAGTGGGTGGAAGCTGAAGCCAGCCGAATCTGAATTAAAAATAAGACACACATTACTAACAGTGAGGGTGATTAACACTGGAACAAACTATACCAAGGGAAGTAGTGGATTCTTCTTCTCTTGATGTCGTCAAATCAAGACAGGATGCCTTTCTGGAAAGTATGCTTTAGCCAAACACACGTCATTGGGTTCAATGTAGGGGTAACCGAGTGAAATTTAATGACTTGTGATATGCAGAAGCTCAGACTAGACCATCTAATGGTCCCTTCTCGCCTTAAAATCTATTAATGTAAGCAGTCAAGTTGAGAATTTGATACATGTTGGCTCCAGCTAGGTCAAAAACTATGAGAAGATAACTTTGTTTTGGTACTTTCCTTGTGGTCTTCCAGAGCCTGTTCCTGGCCAAAACCATAAATTTAAAAGAGGCTCTTGAAAATGAAAAGCGAGAAAACGTGAACTTTTTTTTGAACCTCAAAAAAATTGTCTGGTTTCAGGTTTCACACACTTATTGCTTCCTTCACTCCCTATCCTCTCAAGCCAGGTCAAACAGTTCTGGGGGGAACAGCACTGTGGACAGAGAGGAAGAATTCAGTTCTTTAAACGTTGGATGTATCCTTGTTTATAATATAGGAAGTCTGTAATGTTTCACATAAGGAACTGGGAGTTGGGACAGAGAGGTTTTATTTCCAACTCACCATCTAATGCTGGGCAAGTCACTTAACATCTTGGGGTCTCATTTTACAGAGCTATAAAATAGATATAATACTTGCCAAACTCACAGAGGTTCTGTGAAGTATCATTAATGTTTGCAAAGTGCCTTTAGATCCTGACCCTCTGATTAAAGGGGCAGTATATGTAGAAAGCATTAAAAGGGATTATACCTATAGTCTTTGCATTCCCACAGAATCTGCATTGAAAGGTCTCGCTTGAGTGCTGTACATGAGATCAGAATGGAGCGAGTGGATGTTGGATTAAAGCCTGATATGAACGGCATGTGTTTGTGGCCTTTGCTCCATAGGAAGGGAAAAGTGTGAAGAAATGTGAAGGATGTAACATGACTGTGCAGCCACCTGAGGGAATACGTTTCATCTCTCACCCATTGCTAAGTGATATATTTATACAATAAATGTGCCAAGATCTCTATCAGCAGATTATTTTCAGTAGGTTCATGTCTTGTTTTTTTTCCTGATGTTTACAGAAAGACACCTGCTGGCTTTTATTGATGTGAAAAATGGTGGGGACGCTGATCTCGGCATGTGAGGTGCTACCCAGGTGATGCCAAGTGTCCCAGCTTGGAAACCACTGAATCATGACAAACATAGCCAAATGGGGCTAAGAGAGTCAGTAAGGACTCCCAAGTGCCCTCTTCCTCTTTTTCATTTTACTTCTGTACCAACGAAGCAGCTTCCAAATGGTTTTATGCATAGCCAGCTGGGAGTATCAAGGTCTTTGTCTCACCTGCAGCCCATTACATTACTTTCTTGAACTCATATTGTTTTCTTTGAATCACACCTCCAAAGAGACTCCCCGTTCCACCACTAAAGCTCCACAAATATGCACTGGCTTTACATGCTGGGGTAACCCCTTCCTTCTAGTAACCCCAGGGACTTGAATACTTCCAGACAGGACAATGAGCAAAGCTGGTTAAGGCTGCTGCTAACAGACCAGCAGGTGTCGCTATAGAATGATGCCAAGTTACCTTTCCCTCTGGAAGCTGAGCGGAGAACGCAGCCTCTGGACTTTTTATTGTATCCTTCCACCTATAAAGCCAAGTAAATTTAAGCCAAACAAACAAACAAACCCTATATCATCTGGGTAGCCTTAGAATCAGAGAGCGAATCATTTATGGGCAAGAATCTTTCTCATTCGCATAGCATAGGCTTCCAGTAGTTAGAAACATGCTTTCAAAAAAATTACTTTTCCTTGGAAAACAACAACTACAGCAAGACTATCTAGCCATTGAAAACAATGGCATATTATATATATATATATATATATAATTAAAATCTCTTCAAAATATCATGCTAGTAAGATAATTATATCCCACTACACCAACATGTCTTGTATATTTTCCATATGATCATAAATACCGACTGACTGTCAGTATAACAACATTAAAGTTTACTGTCCTTGGAAGAAATAGCTCTGTCAATTTTCCATATTCCCATCAGTCTGTAATATTTACCAATATACTACACCAGACCCCAAGAAATATGTTATTTTCACTGAAGGCCATATTTTATTGATTGTTATCCTTATAGCCAGTCAGTATTTGACACCTAGATATTACAGTGATGGGTTCCTTGGAAATACCTTAGACACAGTTTTTGACCCTGAAAAGTAAAACTTGTTCTTCTTCAAGTGCTTGTTCATGTCAACTCCAATCAGGTGTGTGCATGCTGCGTGCACAGTCATCAGAAAGTTTTCCCTTAGCAGTTCCCATCGGGTCGACTGTGGATCCCTCTGGAGTGGTGCCTTCATGGCGCTCAATATATGACCCTGCTGACCCGGCCCCTCCTCAGTTCCTTCTCACCTCCAGTGATGGTTGTTGGAACTGTTGTCGCTTGCTTAGCAGGCGCTTCCCTAAGCATTCTTACTTGTTAGTGTATATATTGTATAGAGTGAGGTTTGGGAGTGGGGTTCTGAGGAAACCTTGGCACAAGTCCCACAGCCGGCCCAGGTCCAGGTCGCCACCAGGGCAACTCTGAGGCATGACCCATTGCAAGGCCAGGCTACTGCCACCTTGGATATGGTCGCCATAGAGGCCCCAGACACTGAACAGGAGGAGGACCCCGTACCACCTCTGGCCTCCTCATCTTCCTCCCCAGATGAAGCAGTGATGGGAGCTTCAACCTCAGGCCCTCCCCCAATTGACCTCAGGGCCCACTAGGACCTTCTACGAAGGATTGCCCGTAACATGGTAGAGGAGGTGGTCAAGCCTGAAGACCCCAAGGTGGACATCCTTGCGCCAGAGGGACCATCTAGGGTGGCTCTGTCAATAATAAAAACAATCCAGAGCAATATTAAGACTCTATGGCAAACCCCTGCCTCAATCCCTACCATTCGAAGGCACAGGATTATTTTCAGAGCAAACAGACTCCAAGCTGCACAGTCTCAAAGACTCCCAGGCAACTATGAAGTCGTTGGGTATGTCCCCGGCAACCCAACGGTAACATTTCAAGCCCCAACTGCAACAGCAGCGCCCATATCCTCCTTGGCCAAGGCAGGATTTTTATAGGTGTAGGGGCAGGAACGGCAGGCACAAACCTTCCAATCCCCCTTCTGGGCAGGTCCAAGGCCCAACCAAATCTTCATCAGGCTCTAAAAAGGCCTTTTGAAGGTGCGCCAGAGGACGGTGCACCTGCCATTACACTGGATCCTTCCCCGTTTTATGAATCGTCTGTCCCACTTCTACCATGCTTGGTCCCAAATAAAATCAGACCGCTGGGTTCTTCACACTGTAGAATTGGGATATTCTCTCCAATTCTGCTCCTCCCCTCCCTCCCCCCTTCCCTGTCCCTCTTCAGGGACTCTCCTCACAAGCGACTCCTTATCCAGGAGGTGCAGACGCTCCTCGCAGCAGGGGCAGTGGAGGAGGTTACTCAGGCGCTAAGGGGCAAGGGGTTCTATTCCCACTATTTCCTAATCCCCAAAGCCAAGGGTGGGGGAAGGGGGTGTCTCAGACCCATCCTCGACCTGCGAGGACTCAACAGATTCATGATGAAGTTGAAGTTCCGCATGGTCTCCCCCCAAGTACAATTATCCCTTCTCTGGATCCAGGAGACTGGTACGCCGCCCTCAACATGAAAGATGCGTATTTTCACATAGCTATTCGACCTGCACACAGACAATTTCTATGGTTTGTGGTCGATCAAAAACAATATCAGTTCACGAACCTCCCCTTCGACCTGTCAACAGCTCCCTGAGTGTTCACCAAGTGCATGTCGGTCATAGCAGCCTTCCTCCGGAGGAGGCAGGTGCAGGTATATCCCTACCTCGATGACTGGCTACTCCGGGGGCGCTCCAGGGAGCAGGTAGAGTCTCAAGTCCGATTGGTCAGATTCTCTTTCTAGAGATTGGGTCTCCTCCTCAACATGAATAAGTCAACCTTATCACCGACCCAAAGAATAGAATTTATCAGGGCAGCGCTGGACTCGGTACAGGCAAGGGAGTTCCTGCCAAAGACCTGGTTCCAAGCCATAACAGACATTATTCAAAACCTCAGGCAGTACCCGACTACCACAGCAAGGGGATGCCTGAGTCTCCTTGGCCACATGCCGGCCTGCACTTACATGGTCTGCCATGCGAGACTGAGGCTCAGGCCACTCCAGGCCTGGCTCGCTTTGGCCTACCACCCAGAACGCAACAGCCTGGACATAGTGGTCACGGTGCCAGGACAAGTACTAGAGTCCCTCCAGTGGTGGCTTGACCTCCTGGCAGTCTGTAAGGGAATCCCATTCAACAGCCCCCAGCCCTCCTTGTCCCTTGTAAAAGATGCATCAGCTCTGGGATGGGGCGCACATTTGGGAGACCTACAAACACAGGGCCTATTGTCATGGGAGGAGCTTCCCCTTCATATCAACATCAAGGAGCTCGGGGCAGTATGGCTAGCATGCTGTACCTTTCAGGCCCGTCTACGATGTCAGTTCATGGCAGTGATGACGGACAACACCACTGCCATGTTTTACATCAACAAGAAGGGTGGAGCCCATTCCTCCCCCTTATGTCAGGAAGCCCTCCAGCTATGGGAGTTCTGCATAGCCCACTCCATTCACCTGGAGGCGTCCTATCTCCCAGGAGTGCAGAATGACCTAGCAGACCACCTCAGCAGATCATTCCACAATCAAGAGTGGTGCATCCATCTGGATGTCATACACTCCATCTTCCAAGGGTGGGGGTTTTCCCAGGTCGGCCTGTTCACCACCAGGAGCAACAGGAAGTGTCCAATGTTCTGCTCCTTCCAGTGTCACAATCCTGGCTCGATCATGGACGTGTTTCTCTTTCCCAGGGAGGTCACCTGTTGTATGCCTTTCCCCCAATCCTTCTCGTGCACAAGTACTTCTCAAGGTCCACAGGGACAGAGAGGAGGTAGTTCTGGTGGTCCCAGCGTGGCCCTGACAACACTGGTACACTATGCTCCTGGAGCTGTCAGTGGACACTCCGATCAAGTTATCACTGCATCCCGATCTGATCACTCAGGATCACGGCTGCCTTCACCACCTGGAAGCTTCATGGTTAAACTCCATGGAGCTTCTATGCTCAGAACCAGTAAGGGAGGTCCTATTTGGCAGTAGGAAACCATCTGCTAAGGCCACATATCTAGCTAAGTGGAAAAGGTTCAGTTGCTGGGGTGCCCAGCAGTGTACACCTCCACTCCAGGCATCTGTACCACCCATTCTAGAATACTTTCTGTACCTGAAACAACAAGGACTGCCAGCATCATCCATCAAAGTACATCTCGCTGCTATCTCAGCCTTCCACCTGGGAGTGTCCGGCCAATCTGTATTTGCTAACCCCATGGTAGGCCTTTTCCTCAAGGATTTGGAACGCCTACATCCTCAGACAAGACAGCCTGTCCCAGCATGGGACCTCAACTTTGTCCTCTTCAAATTAATGGGACCTCCTTTTGAGCCAATAGTGACTTGCTCCCTTCTCTATCTATCATGGAAGGTAGCTTTCCTGATGGCCATCATATCAGCTAGGAGGGTGTCTGAGCTAAAGGACCTTACCTCTGATCCAGCCTACACAATCTTCCACAAGGATAAGGTGCAACACAGGCCTCACCCAGTCTTTCTTCCCAAGGTAGTGTCACTCATACTAGCCAAGACATTTTTCTACCTGTCTTCTATCCTAAGCCTCATGCCAGTAGCTGTGAGCAGAGGCTACACTCATTGGATGTTTGGTGAGCACTAGCATTCTACATCGAACGCACTAAGTTGTTCAGGAAGTCGAACCAGCTGTTCATAGTGGTAGCAGACTGGATTAAAGGACTCCCGGTCTCATCTCAAAGAATATCTTCCTGGATCACGTCCCTCATCCACACGTGCTATGAGCTGGACAAGGTCCTAGCCCCGGTACTTATGGCACATTCCACAAGGGCACAGGCCTCGTCAGCGGTGCTCCTGGCCCAAGTCCTGACACAAGAAATTTGCAGGGCAGCAACGTGGTCCTTGGTGCATACATTTACCTCTCACTATGCTATCACCCAACAGGCTAGAGATGATGCAGCATTCGGCAGAGCAGTGCTCCAGTCAGCATTTCCTTAACTCCGACCTCAACTCGGTGGAGCTTGGGAGTCACCTGATTGGAACTGACAGGAACAAGCACTTAAAGAAGAAAAAATGGGTACTCACCTTCTTGTAACTATTGTTCTTCGAGCTGTGTTGTTCATGTCCATTCCAATACCCACCCTTCTACCCCTCTGTTGGAGTAGCTGGCAAGAAGGAACTGAGGTCGGGCCAGGTCAGCAGGGTCATATATTGAGCACCATGAAGGAGCCACTTCAGGGGGCTCCACAGCCAACCCGATGGGAGCTGCTAAGGGAAAACTTTCCGATGAATGTGCATGCAGCGTGCGCACACCTGGTTGGACTGGACATGAACAACACATCTCAAAGAACAACAGTTACGAGAAGGTAAGTAACCGTTTTTTCTTATGATATTGAATTAATTAGGATGAGTTGGAGATTTACCTATTTGTCAAATGACCTATCAAAGTTTGATGATTTCAGTGCTCTGAGGGACTGATTCTCCACTCTATACCTGTTCTACACTGGGAATTACATGGATGTAGAAACAGTGTAACACATTAGTGAACCAGGCTGGTACTATTTATTTATACATAGAGCAATGTAACTCCCCTGACCTACTCTCAGAATGAGGCATTTATATCAAGGGGATGCTAGTACTATATAACTAATAGTAATAGGGCAACCACTGCATGCTGACTGCATGGTATAACCACAGTATTTAGATAAAGCCATCAATGTAACTACAGCTGTGGAAGACAATTTAATATGGCCAGCAATGTAACTATACCGTTAGGAGGGTATAACTAACTACACAGATAATAGTAGCAAGGTAACGATGTTCACAGGAAAGCATAAACATACCAATAATAGCCACCATGTAAATCAGAGGGTCTCCGTATTGATGCAATAGCAGCAGTGTAACTTTGCTCAGTGGAGAGGGGCATAACTATCCCAATGACCGCAATGGGGTAATTGCACCAATGGGAGGGTATAACTCTACAAATTATAACTCTGTATATAACTCTTCCATTAACAGATGGGTCACCTGAGTATGGGTCAGAGCAGTGTCTCTAGGTGTCAGGGCATGAAACTCTGAAGAGATGAGACTTTAAAACACAGCTGACTACTCGGAGCTTGACTACAAAAAGGAAATAAAGCTTATTGAAGAAGAGTTGCACAATCTGTGTCTGGAAGACAAATGAGATAAACCAAGCAAGGTGTAGATTTTCTGTTTGCTTCCTGTAAACCCCTCAGAAATTGCTTAAATATATTTATGAACAGAGCTTTCTCCCTCAGGCATCACCACAAAGAGATGAGAATAAAAATGTAATAGATCCATCCCTCTCAGGAACAGAAACCACACATGGATGGACGCAAAAATTGCTGAAACAAATGGTTAGACTTCCATCCAGTCACTGAATTGAAGAGGACAGAGCAGACACCAGATAAGAGTGATACATAGTAAGTAATACAAGTAGCTAAAACAGCCATTCTTGGAGGACTAATGTATAGAGACTTGTACATAGGTTTTGATCCAACTCTCAGCCTGAATTCTTCTCCCCATCCTGACAGGTTTCAGAGTAGCAGCCGTGATAGTCTGTATTCGCAAAAAGAAAAGGAGTACTTGTGGCATCTTAGAGACAAACCAATTTATTTGAGCATAAGCTTTTGTGTAAGATGCCACAAGTACTCCTTTTCTTTCTCCCCATCCTGACACCCTTGAGCATACAAGTGAAATAAAGCCCCAGGTTGATATAGTCATTATTGTTTAGTAGTCTACATGCAGTGAGTTGGTTGCTATACTCCAGTACCTAGTGAGCAGGTGTCTACATTACAGAATTGCCATCACTGGCACCCTTGTTGCACTCTCAGAAAAGAGGCCAGGGATTGAATGGCCATGAAGATTGATCTCATCATGTGCCTCTAGAGGATCTCTAGATTGGTAGGGCTGTGCGGTGCTACACATGGGATCTGTGATACCAAGCACTCTTCAGGGCCATCCACTAGCACTACATTCACTAAACACTTCAAAGGGGAAAAGTTGAATCATCCAGTGGCTCTACAACCCCTTTCCCAGACTCCGAATCCATGTTGGGTGACTGGATATTGCCCTGCAGCAGAGCAAAGAACTATGAGGCAACTCTCTCCAAAAACAAACACACCACCCAGCACCTTCAGAGATTCCACCTTCACCCTTGTTTGGTTTCGGCACAAACCTTTGCTTGTGTGTAGCCCTTGAAACACAACGCTGCGGACCACCTACGGCCCTCACATGGCTCTTATGGAATTCTTCCATGTGACTGTCGAGCAGTAAAATGGACCAATTACTTTTAATTGCTAGTGGGTTTTTTAGTTAGCTTTTGCTTTGTCTTTCTATTATTAACCTCCTAGCTCCATGAGGGCACAAGATAGACTCCTAAGCATCAATTGATCCACACTCGGATCCCTCAAAGACATAACATAAAGGGAAACAATCAAAGATAATAGTTCCCACCAATTTGTTCTTATTTTTCTTATCTTTTTTTTCAAGAGATTATTAGAAACAATGAATAAAATAAATTATTTTTAAAACAGGAAAAATTCCTCAGTGCTACATCATTTTGGGAAACATTGCAGTGTAAATGTTTAGCAACTTGATTTTATTTCCCTTTGCCCCTGCTACAATGTATCAGTACCAGAACCACTCCATAGGAATTGCCATCCTGGAACAGACCAATGGTCTGCCATGGCAAAGCTGTATCTTCTGAATGGCTCCCTGAAAACCCAGGAATAACCCCATTATAAAGAGGTGAGCTAGTGTGATTGGTCACTTTACCATAATGTACCAAGAAATGTCCTCTGTACTGCAAGGAAGATAATCATGAAGCCCTTGAGGCTCAGTGTTTAACCCCTACAGGGACTAGGGATATGGACGGTAAATTCAAAGACCAAATGAAATTAAAGGGGTAGATTTTCTGCTTGAAGCCTTCCACTTAAGGGAAAGAGGAAGTGCACTATCACCAAAGGAATTTTCTATAGGAGAATCTCTCATTAGCAGCGCGTTTTCTCCTTTTTAAAGTTCAAGTCTGGAGCCTTTCCTGATTCAACATGACTTAAATGTAATGTGGTAGTATGCTGGTGAACTAGGCCTAAATAGCAAAAGGCCCTTCAGGTAGAATGAAATGCCACTAAAAAGAGAGAAGTCGAGCTGAGTACAGCAGAGATGTCAGATACATTATTCACCAATTTCCTTCAGGGCAGCTGGAAGATTTGTGTTCCGCTCTGTTGCATTCAGAAATCACAGTGGTGAATGTTCTGCACAATCCTCTGGCTGATTTAACAAAGCCAATAGATAGGTTTACCAGATGGCATCAGACATCAGTAGGAATGTCTGACAGCCCCCGATAATCACAGTTTATATGATTGAAACCTGTTTATATTGATTGTGTATGGAATGACACAAAGTGCTTATATATTCACTACATGATTGGCTTAGGTCTAGTCCTAATCAAACTCCTAAACAGATCAGTAGCTGCCTAGTTGGAGCAGACAGGGACACATCTGTTTTAATAGATAAAAGAGGACATTTTGGAGTCTTCTTCCTGGGTCAGTGATGCTGGCATCACTCTCATTTTTGCCTCAGAGGAGGAATACTCTTTTACCATCTCCAGAACAGAGCTTTGTCCTGTTCTTGCTTATGGAAAAGAACATAGATCTTTGAGAGATGAGGGAACTAGTTTGAGAAAAACATAACTGGCCTAAATCCCAGCTAGATTATCAAACTGAATCAGGCACTTTAAGATTTTAACTGGTTTGGACTGCCTCATTCTTCTCCCCATTTCAACATCTCTCTGCTTCTACAATATCCCTCTTTTTCTTTCTTTTTCTTTTTCTCATTTACTGCTAAGAGAATAGCCATAGTTGGTACCTGTAATACATACTGAAGAATGCTAGAGGGAGGCTGAGGAAAGACCTATGGAGAGGAGCAAAGAGAACAGTATGGAGAACGCAAAAAGAAAAGGAGTACTTGTGGCACCTTAGAGACTAACCAATTTATTTGAGCATGAGCTTTCGTGAGCCACAGCTTATCTAAAGTGATCAACAGGTGGGCCATTTCCAGCACAAATCCAGGTTTTCTCACCCTCCACCCCCCCACACAAATTCACTCTCCTGCTGGTGCTAGCCCATCCAAAGTGACAACTCTTTACATAATCAAGTCGGGCTATTTCCTGCATAGATCCAGGTTTTCTCACTTCCCCCCCACCCCCATACACACACAAACTCACTCTCCTGCTGGTAATAGCTCATCTAAACTGACCACTCTCCAAGTTTAAATCCAAGTTAAACCAGAATATCTGGGGGGGGGGGGGGTAGGAAAAAACAAGAGGAAACAGGCTACCTTGCATAATGACTTAGCCACTCCCAGTCTCTATTTAAGCCTAAATTAATAGTATCCAATTTGCAAATGAATTCCAATTCAGCAGTTTCTCGCTGGAGTCTGGATTTGAAGTTTTTTTGTTTTAGATAAGCTATTACCAGCAGGACAGTGGGGTGGGAGGAGGTATTGTTTCATATTCTCTGTGTGTATATAAAGTCTGCTGCAGTTTCCACGGTACACATCTGATGAAGTGAGCTGTGGCTCACGAAAGCTCATGCTCAAATAAATTGGTTAGTCTCTAAGGTGCCACAAGTACTCCTTTTCTTTTTGCGAATACAGACTAACACGGCTGTTCCTCTGAAACCTGTCAGTATGGAGAACTGTTACCTTTGCAGGGTTTGCTTACATTCTTAATCCAGTTTAGTCCTAGAGGCCTTTTTCTTACTTCAGCCCAAAATACCTTTGCCAATGTTCCTCACCGTATCATAGTGTTTCTCAAAGTCTGAGAAAGGGCTGCTGCTGTTTGTTAGCGATTACACATTGTTATGACCGGATGACTGCTTGGTAGCCTATATAAAACTGTACCCAAAAGTCACCTACTACAGGATAGGCCCAACAAAGAAAATAACAAAACGCCACTAGCCATCACCTTCAGCCCCCAACTAAAACCTCTCCAACGCATCATCAAGGATCTATAACCTATCCTGAAGGACGACCCATCACTCTCACAGATCTTGGAACACAGGCCAGTCCTTGCTTACAGACAGCCCCCCAACCTGAAGCAAATACTCACCAGCAACCACACACCACACAACAAACCACTAACCCAGGAACCTATCCTTACAACAAAGCCCATTGCCAACTGTGTCCACATATCTATTCAGGGGACACCATCATAGGGCCTAATCACATCAGTCACACTATCAGAGGCTCGATCACCTGCACATCTATCAATGTGATATATGCCATCATGTGCCAGCAATGCCCCTCTGCCATGTACATTGGTCAAACTGGACAGTCTCTATGTAAAAGAATAAATGGACACAAATTAAATGTCAAGAATTATAACATTCAAAAACCAGTCAGAGAACACTTCAATCTCTTTGGTCACTCGATTATAGACCTCAAAGTTGCAATTCTTCAACAAAAAAAACTTCAAAAACAGACTCCAACAAGAGACTGCTGAATTGGAATTAATTTGCAAACTGGATACAATTAACTTAGGCTTTAATAAAGACTGGGAGTGGATGGGTCATTACACAAAGTAAAACTATTTCCCCATGTTTATTCCCCCCCCCCCCCCCACTGTTCCTCAGACGTTCTTGTCAACTGCTGGAAATGGCCCACCTTGATTATCATTACAAAAGGTTATTTTCCCCTTGCTCTCCTGCTGGTAATAGCTCACCTTAAGTGATCACTCTCCTTACAGTGTGTATGGTAACACCCATTGTTTCATGTTCCCTATGTATATAAATCTCCCCACTGTATTTTCCACTGAATGCATCCGATGAAGTGAGCTGTAGCTCATGAGAGCTTATGCTCAAATAAATTTGTTAGTCTCTAAGGTGCCACAAGTACTCCTTTTCTTTTTGCGAACACAGACTAACACGGCTGCTACTCTGAAACATATAAAACTGTGTTAATAGTCTCAATTCAGTTCCAAGTGGATGGAGAAAACCCCCAATCCTCACTGGAACTCTTATTGGGCAGGCTCAGTAGAGCAGGGGTGGGCCAAATATGTCCCGGGGGCCACATTCGGCCCTTCAGACATTTTAATCCGGCCCTCAAGCTCCCAACTGGGAGTGGGGTCTGGGGCTTGCCCTGCTCCACATGTGCCGTGGCTCCGCACGGATTCCAGAAGCAGAGGCATATCCCCATTCCGGCTCCTACATGTAGGGGCAGCCAGGGGGCTCTGCACATTGCCCCCGCCTCAAGTGCTGCCCCCACAGCTCCCATTGGCCAGGAACTGCGGCCAATGGGAGCTGCAGGGGCAGCACCTGTGGATGGTGCAGCATGCAGAGCCATCTGGCCGTGCCTCCACATACGAGTCAGAGCGGGGACATGCCGCTGCTTCCAGGAG